CATGCGCGGACATTATCAGAGCACTGTGTGCGCATAGTTCGGGCAGAATAAAGGTTTACGGCAAATTGTCGCCGCGCTTCAATTTCTCCAGTTGTGTGAGACAGTTCGCCACTGTTACCTTTTCTCTGTAATTTCGCTGTTGACGGAGTTTATATATATATATATATATATATATATATATATATATATATATCATCAATATACGTCAGCCGAGGGCGAGAAACAAGCCACAGCTAATGTACCGCAATGCGAAATAGGTAAGACATTAAGCAATGTAGACTTTAAAGCTAAAAAAGTAACAAAAATGCTAATATCACATTTGTGATCGTGGTTGAAGGGGGAAGCTAAAGGACAGGGGAGAAAAAAGGGATTCACAACACAAACAGCATTGAGGTCGGGTCCTTGCCATGTCAACTAGTGTATCCAAGCAAATGTGTTCATCATCCTTTGGTCCCCAGCCAGGCAGTCGGGACACACCAACCGAGGCCAACTTCGATGTGAGGGACTTTATTCCTTTTGACCAAGTCACCGTTTGGCCTCTCCTCCTCGTTTTCTATTCACACCCGCAGCGCGCAAACAACACATGTTGCGGGAGTCGGTCGGCTGACATGTGCAACACGTGACCCAGCCATCGTAGCCTTGTGCGTGATATAATGGTACTGAGCGGTTCACTCGCTTTTTACATATACCTAGTGCCTCATGCTAAGGCCGACGTTTACTTTCTTATGTTTCTTCATGGCAGTTGGATTAGGGTGACTAACACTTGCGCTGGTCCCGCAGTAAACTAGACTTGACTGAACAAATTTAATTTTACTTGCTCAACTCTGTTGATACCCTGTATATTCCCTGTTAATTTTTCTCGCCCTCTTATTTTCGGTGTTATTCGGTTGATGATGCCGATCGTAGCCTAGAGGTAACTTGTCTTGTAATCTTAGGGCGCGGGTTCGAGCCTGCGTAGTGGCAAGGCGACCCTCGCAGTATCTTTAGCCCACGTGAGACCGGTGGCGGTTGCGCGGTAGCGAAGCGTCGGTACTGCGTACCGGCGTATTGCTGATGCTTTCTTCGGTTGTTATCCCCTGACCTACACTTCCTTGTGTTACCCTTACACTTAATCAGACTTAATACACATTTAGTCAGTTTCTCTGTTCTGGTAAACTGCAGTACATCTGCTGTCCAGATTGCGTGTTTAGTTTCTCCCATATTGTGTTTGCTGTTTGATAACCCGGTGTGGCTGCGCGTGTAGTGAATGTTGACAAGATGCCTACCTGTAGAAAATACGTTGTCCCGATAATACTGGCTGCACGAGACAGTTCATTGTTGTATGCGAAAAAGGGATGCACGATCCTAGCGACCGTTCTAGGCTCAAAAAGTGGTTCCATGCAGCCAGTGTGGAACAGGACACGGCCCAACCATCACTATGTGTACGTCAGGTACGCATAATTCTCCTATTTTTGAATGATATGTACCACAAGTACGCCTCCTACCACGTACTGAACACGCCGCTTCGCAGTGGTATCAGTTCTGATATGGTTATTGCAAGGGATATAAAAGCACAAGTAGGTCGTCTGGGCTCTTCAGAAGCTCAGCTAGGTGGCAAGTAGGGACTTAACTCCGACCGTGCAGACAACGACAAGCATTTGCTGCAACTATGTGCGAAGTACCGGCTGTTTCTTAGTAGCACCGCCACTAGACACAGTGGGCACCGAAAAGCCACTTGGCGTCCCCCTACAGCCGGCCAGCAGTGGACCTAAATAGATCACATTGACATAAGTTACAGGTGGTGTGATTCAATACTGGGATGCCGCACATTCTCGAATACGTACGTAGATAATCAGCGTGCCTCGGTACGCTGTTGTATTGCCATGGAATTTACTGGTAGAGGTATGAAGCGCTTCTCGGGACTGGGTATAGAGAAATAATCTCAGCCGTCGGTAAGGTAAACTTACCAGGATGCCCTGCGTACCGAACCTTCGTTCTCATACTGACGCTGGACTTCAGTGGAATAGGATCGTGGCCTCATGCAAAACAGCGGAGCCACTGCTTGTAAAATAATAATAGTAATAAATGCTTGTGGCACTATCTGTCGTCACCGCACCAGTCACTGGATTTTCTAGAGGTCGGTGAGCCTGTTAGAATCCAGAAGAAAAGTCCCATCTGGCTCTGAGCACAATATAACTTCATGGACTATTAGGCGCGAAATAAAACGAAGCCTGTGTGTTGACAAGGAAGCGTAGTGGACCAGTGTAGCTCAAAAAATGAAGTATGCTGTAAGAGTAGGCAACTATCGCAAGCTTTCCCAAATGATCGGCACTACTGGTTCCAGAAAACCGGGAGTCAGCGCTGTGATCTGATTCACAATGAGGAGCGCCGTATGACTCCTTGTGCAGAGCACTTTATAGAGCAGTTCATTTGGTTCCCTGTTTGCGGACTACTTCCCATTCAGGTGATGCAGACTTAGCCATGGCCGGTTAGTTTAGAGGCCGATTCGGAGGCTGAGGTCCGAGAGGCGATCACAACCCCTAAACGTCTTCAAACTGCAGATCCAGATCCCCTCGCACCCGTACTATTTAAGAATTATGGTGAGGTCCTCTGCCAAGCACTGGCCTCCTTGTTCTAATAAACCTGGAAGGAACACGTCATCCCAGATAACTGGAATGAAGTGATTATAGTGGCAATATACAAGAAGAGAAGTCGCGCCGACTGTGTCAACCATAAATATTAGTCTAATAACGATTGTGACAATATTACTAGCTTCAATTCTCTTCTTCGCTTCACTTCGGAACGGGAATGCCGAATTAGAAGGGAGCAGGCAGGTTTCCACTCATGACGGAACTGTAAAGATCAAATATTCACTCTGCGTCATGTGCTACAGCAACGCCACAAGTACTGCAGGCGGACAATAGCTGTTTCTCGACTTCAGAAGTGCGTTCAACTCAGTCGATCGATCAGGGCTGTTCAAAATACTTCAGCGAAAGTGTTCCCATGATGTATGTAGACATTTTACGTGACCTGTACCCAGTTGCAGAACTCAGTCGTTCAGGGACAAGCGTTTATTCAGCAAAGTCAACGCAGGGAAAACTACAGCATGTTTGGCAAGCCAAACTCCATGAAATAAATTGCCCATTCACGTCCATAACTAACGACCCACCTGAGCCGATGAGGTTACCCTTTTGACTCGGTTAAACAATGATGAGCAAGGCACACGAATGGCGAATCCGTGTCCAGTAATCGAATCCCTTACATCCGCCTCCAACTGGTTGCCTGTGGCGCTCGTCTGGTTCATCTGTTCACTCTGATATGACATTCATCACACCACAACAGGCCACGTCAGGATCTACGAAGACTTGTCGGATATCTTTCCGACCACAAACAATGTTCGTCAGGTGCTTCCTTGCGAAATGTCACGAATCAGATGTTGATGTGCTGTCTGGTGAAAAGCTAGTTTATTTGATTGTGAGTACGATATCTCGCTGTTTAACGATTTTGGGGCGGAGAAGTCAACGTCGAACAAACACTCTAGTAGTCCTATAATTTGGCATGCGCTTCGTACCTTCAAAATGCAGAGTTGTTACAGGTTCACCATCTAGTTGTCGATCCAATGATCCTTGACAACAAGGAACTCGAAGCAGCTGACCGATTTACCTACTTTGGCAGTTGCATCCGCAACGAAGGGTGCATAAGCACTGAAGTCAGTACACGTACGGTAAAAGCTAGAACTGCCATCTTATATCTGCGACAACTGTGGCGTCAGAAAGAGGTTTTTACAGGTCTGAAAGGTCGCGTTTACAAGGCCACAGTGAGGACCACTCTACTTTATGTAAGTGACATGGCCCCTTCGGCATGAGAATCCGAGGCTTCCAAAAGTGCAGAAACAGTGTCCCATTTCGACCAGTCGTTTCCCTTCCACACACACACCCATCTACAAATCGGTAAAGGATTTGTGAGGGCGTCTCAAACGTCTAACCAGCGAATCCCACCGTTTCATAAACAATGTCTAGCAGTTTCAAACAGATAACGACGGAATGATGGTCTTCCTTGATGTAACTGCTCTATTCACATATGTCTATCTTCAGTTAGCGAAAGAAATCATTGTAGGACGCCTAAACAACAGCGGAGGAAATCGGGTAGATGACCGAAAGTATACACAAATCCCTTCTTCTATAGGTTAGGCTTTACGTTACTTTCGATGGAGAGATCTATGGGCATGTGATAGGGGCACCGGTGAGATCCCAAATATCAGGACCGATCGCAGAGATCGTCAGGCTGAGTACCCCGAAATTGTGGGTCCGGTAGGCAGGCGATACATTTGTAATATCCCAACGTAGTGATGCAGCAGTCGCACAGCAGCTACTCAGCAACGCCGTAGACGGTATGCAGTTTGAGACGGAGCCCTTGAAACAATTAAGCTATTCTTTCTATGGTAGCTAAAGCAATGAGCAGTCAACTGCAGATATCTGTTTAGAGGAAAAGCACACATAAGGACAAAACTTTAGATTACGTACAACCTCAAAAGTAACATAATGTAAGGTGTGCATGGGCATTATTTCGCAAACTAAATAACAAAGTACTATGGAGGCGAAGCGACAAGTAAAAGCATCCGCTCAACTTGCCCTAGTGCGAAGCGCAAACAAGATGCTTCGCCTAAAGGTGCTTAAATTACAGGACCAAAGGCCCTAAAACCATGACAGCGACAGAAATAGATCGTTCCACCGTACACGAAGAACACCTGAATTGACGACTAGGTTGCTGACACTACTCATGGATGCACACAAATAAATTGCCAGACAGATGAGAAATAAGAACCATAAGCTGCATGTATACTTTTAATGTTATTGATGATTAGTTTCCCGCTAAATCTGATAAATTGTCTTAATCTGTAAGTACTGATTTCTAAAAAACTTCAGCTAATAATACCAATTGTAAATAGCAATGAGCGAAAAACGCAAATGCAAGAACGACAAAAGAGTCTTGAGCACTGCGCTTAAAGAGGAAGAACTCACTGAGCAATCTTAGTTCGAGTTTCCAGGTCAACAGACTTAATCGAAACACGAACAGGAACGGCACCCAAATAGCGTAGTTCGTAATTGACTCCAGAATCGGATGCAAGAAGACGACTCGAGTACAACCATTTGTTATCCCTGTGCATGGACAAGTAGGTAGTGAACTCAGCTAGACAAAACCCCGACGACCAGAGGTGAAGGCGCGCAACCTCAGCAGGTCGCTGGTAAAATAAGTGTGTTAGAGGATTCCGAGAGCTTCCGTGTCCGATGTGTACGTGGATCGTTATAGACCTGGGTAGTTGCAAAGGAAAGCAAATACCTCGTAAGTGAATAAATGTTCATAACACAAACACCTAATAAGAGACCAAACTAAACCAAACGTATGGGTAAAGGGAAGAGGAAGGACCAATGGCCATCTAACGGAGGTGTAACAAAATCCCCTTACTTGAGGGATCACCGAAAGGTCACACTCGGACCTGTTACATTAGTCCCCCCCCCCAGTTGACAGGCGATCCTCAGCACCTACAATAGCCATAGTCAGTTTCTACCTGCTGATGTGAAGAACAACTGATGAGCGCAGTGTACTCGGTTCCAGAGATCGCAACAAGCAGTGTGATCACAGGAAAATTAATGACAGCCGCGAGTGCAACGATTCCGCTTCAGGGACTGCTGTCGGGAGCAGGTAGGACCGCTGAATATGTAGCGATTGTACATTTCTTCACAATTGTACCTCCCTATTCCCATTTCCATTAGTTAGTGTACAGTTTTGTTTTAACTGAGCAACAACCGATTAAAACACATTTTCGGGTTTCCATTCCCCTACTGGTTTCGGCTACACGCGTTGTGCTGTTGATCGTCAGTCTGCTTGCCACGTTCATCGAGCATAGGATCTACCGCGTCGAATTATTGTGCCGACTATGTTTCGCCTTCCGACCGGATTGTTCAACTAACTGACGGCCTAACGAGGATCGTGCTTTACTGAAGGTCAGGTCCAGCATTCTTAGTTTATAGACTGGGAGTTCTTTTATGTAGTTAAACCCCTTTAGTTTGGCCTTTCCACTACATATTTAGTGGCTCCGTTTTCTGTTTTTTGAAACTCAGAACTCCTTTTTTGTACCCTTATTATGTCGGACCGCCTTTCCCACACTGAAAATTCAGAAAAGTTTGTTGGCCTCTCCTTTTCTGCCTACGATTCAGTTAATCCACATGTGTGACTTTCACAATTGGAAGCGCTTTTCGCATACGCCGCATTACTTCGCAGTCATCAATGTTCACGCATGTCACTGCCCAGCTTTATAGCCACATCGCAACTGACCTTATAGATTTGCACCATCCGATTCCGGCCTTACGATAAGCTGAAAACCGCCATTTTAAAGCGTACCAAGGCTTCCGACAAAGCTAAACTTCGACAGTTACTCTCCGGTATTGAACTAGGCGATCGCACGCCGTCACAACCCTTCAGGCACGTACGTATGTTGGTCGGTTCCTCTGAGATCGATGACCAAATTCTACTACAACTCTGGATGAAATGTCTTCCAGCGAACACCTCAGCTTTTCTCGCTGTGTTAATAGATGATTTATTTTTGGACAAGCTAGCCGAGAAAGTAGACAAGGTTCATGAGTGCTTTCATAAATACGCAGCATGTCACTCAGTTGAGTCGACCGCTAACGCCGAGCATAAGACTGAACCGATTGAAGCCATTTCCGAGAGATTATCGAAGTTGGATCTCGCTATCTCGAGCATTCATCACTTGCGTGGTAGAAGCCCTAGACGCTCCTATCGAAGTAAACGTACTCTCGCCAGTAGTAATACGCGTCAGTTCTGTTGGTACCATCACCGTTTCAGCGATGATGCAACGAATTGTCGAACCGGTTGTAAGCACCCGAAGGCATTCTACAAACCGCAATAGGGAAACCTCCACTCTAGCCAGTGATGGCGACAGCTACGTCTGGCCACTCTTATGGCAGCTTACTTTGCGTCTACGATTCCTCAAGCAGTTCGTACTTCGTGCTTGACACCGGTGCCGAGGTTAGCGTTATTCCCCGTGCTGTAGAAAAATGCAACCTACTTATAAACGGGCTGACATTGCATGCGGCTAACAACACCAAAATCCATACATACGTCTAGAAAATGCTGACTCCCAACCGTGGTCTCCGCCGAATTTTTCCATTTGTTTTTCTCATGACTAGCGTCCCACACTTCATCCTTGGTGTTGATTTCCTCCTCAAGTTCGGCCCGATCGTGAACCTGCGTAACCGTAAACCGCGCGATAGTTTGACATCCTTATCCGTCCCGGGTAAAGTCACCTCGACCAGTTCGATGGATGTTCGCTTGACATTGCCCGCCGACGGTTTGTTCACCGAACTACTGCTGCAGTTTCCTGCTCTTTGGCAATCGTCTAATGATTTTCCTGAGCCTAAACACGAAATTACGCACCACATATTAACACATGGACCGCCAGCAACCGCCCGACCACGACGATTACCTCCAGACAAGCTCGCTATTGCCAAGGCAGAGTTCGAACATATATTTCGTCTCGGTATCGTTCGTCCTTCCAATAGCCCACGGTTCTCCTGGCTTCATATGGTTCCCAAAAATTCCAGTGATGACTGGAAACCTTGCGAAGATTACTGGACACTAAACAATGCCACCGTCCCCGATAGATATCCGATTCCACACATCATGATTTTTCAACTGATCTGCATGGAAGAACAATTTTCTCAAATATTGACTTCGTGCGTGCATACTACCAAATTCCGGTTGCTCCCGGCGATATTCCGAAGACCGCCATAACCACACCATTTAGTCGTCATGAATTTGTTCGCATGCCATTTTGGTCTACGAAATGCCGTGCAGACTTTCCAAAGGTTTATCGATCAAATCCTTAGAGGGCTCGACTTCGTCTACGCCTACATTGACGATATACTTGTGGCCAGTTCCAATCATGATGACCATCTGTCACATTTTCGATGGGTTTTCGAAGGGTTTGCGCAGTACGGTGTTACGATCAATGTTGACAAATGTGTTTTTGGCCAAAGTTCTGTTGATTTTTTAGGCCACTGAATTGATCGCAACGGTATTAGTCCACTCCCCGATAAAACACATGAGACTGCAGATTACCCTATGCCGCAATCTTTCAGAAGTCTCAGACGTTTTCTCGGTATGATCAATTACTACAGCCGTTTCATACCAAATTGCTCCAACCACTGACCGATTACTTAAAGGCTGGTCACGAAAATTCGAGTGCACTTAAGAAGCTATTGATGCAATCAAAAAGATCAAACACACGTCTAACGTTACCGCACTTAGTCATCTGAGGACTGATGTTGACATCACTCTCATCCTCAAGACTTATGCATCGCAGACCGCCGTTAGGGCTCCTCTCCAGCAGGTAATCAACGGTCAACTTGAGCCGCTATCCTTTTTCTCCCGCAAACTTCAGCCAGCAAGGACGCAACACAGCACCTTCGGTCAAGAACTTAAGCTATCTGCGTCGCTATCAAACATTTTCGGCACCCACTTGAAGGTCGTACGTTTACCAGTCTCACAGACCATAAACCATTTGCCTTCGTTTTCCGTGGTTCATCCGACCGTTACTCCCCCAGAGAAATTCGTCAGTTAAATTAAATCTCACAGTTTTCGACCGACATTCGCCATGGTGATGCCATGTTGCGCATATGTCTTCAAGAAGTTTAGCGGCAGACGGTCAATTTAGAAGACATAGCAACTCATCAGGAAGATCCTGAATTTGTGCAACTGAGATCAAAACGCAACAAAATCCCCTTACTTTAGGGATCACAGAAAGGTCACGCTCGGACCTGCTACATTAGCCCCCCTGTAGACAGGCGCTGTCTTCAGCACCTACAATAGCCATAGTCGGTTCCTACTTGCTGATGTGAAGAACAACTGATGAGTGCAGTGTGCTCAGTTCAAGAGATTTCGCGACAAGCAGTGTGGTCAAAGTGAATGAACGCCTCAAGAGCAACGATCCAGCTTCAGGGGCTGCTGCTGTTAACTGGGAGGGTCGCCAAATATGTAGTAGACATGTGGTCGAGGATTCCGAGAGCTTACGTGTCCGATGTGTACGCGGGTCGTTGTAGATCTAGGGAGCTGCAACGAAAAGCAAATACCTCGTAGGTGGTTGGATGCTCCTTGTACAAACACCTAGTAAGAGACCAAACCAAAAAACGTGAAGGTAAATGGAATAAGAAGGAGCAATGGCCGTCCAACAGAGGTGCAGAAAAATATCCCTACTTTTGGAATCACTGACAGAAATCTATACATCTTGAGAAAACGAGACAAAAGACTACAATATGAACATGGATTGGCCATGGAATCCAAAAACTGTCCCAATAATCTTTTGGCCTACCAGAAGCGAAGCGCCAAAACGGGTAGTGGAATCTTCGCTCTATCCTCCTCTAAGGAAGGCACCGTTCCCTACGGCGATGATGAAAAAGCAAACCTACTGGCTACGCAATATTCCTCGGTCTACTCATCGGAATCATAGCTGCTCAACAACTTTTGCCTGCACACTACTCCTCTATGGACCAAGTTGAAATTAACCCCGAGATAGTCACTAGGCTACTCCTCGAAATGGACCCGAAATCCTCCCCAGGTCTGGACGGATTGCATCCCAGGTTGCTCAAAACGATAGCTGAGAACATCGCAGCCCCTCTCTGCCAAGTATTTCGGCAATCCCTCAAAGTCGGCTGCCTACTCAGACTGGAAAGCAGGTACCGTCCTGCCCAAATAGAAGGAGGGAAACCAACAAGACCCAGCGAACTACCGGTAGTATGCAAAACCATGGAACAAATAGTTAAGCGCGCCCTCCAGCTACACCGTGTGAACCAAAAGATCATCTCACCTGCTCAACATGGCTTCCGGAGAGTACGCTCATGCATCTCTAACTTACTCATCACCAGGTAAACATGGGCAGAAGCCATAGATTTTCGAAAATAGGTTGACGTAATATTCATAGACTTCAGTAAAGCCTTTGATAAAGTTCCACACGTACGACTGCTACATAAACTAAGGGAATTGGCATTAGAGAAAATCTCTCCTGGAGTGCTGATTTCTTAAGAGGTAGGACCATGCGCGTACAACGGAACCAAACCCTCTCTGCTCCTGTGCCTATGACTAGTGACA